AAACAATAGAACGTGCAAAGTCTATCTTTCTTTTTTTTTTTACTGTACTCTACAGGAATGTTGGACAGAAGATTTCAGAAAATATTTGTATTATTTATTAGTCAGGTATATTTATTAATACACGTTTACAAGGTAAATAACTAAATATTTAAAGCCACACCTTATAATGTAGGAGTGTGTTTGCACTCATGTTGTTGGTTTTCGTTTATTCACTCTTCCTGCCTGTATCCTCATGGGTACTTTCTGTTTTCCAGGTTGAATGTAATGACTATGACAGTGATGGATCACATGACCTCATCGGAATCTTCCAGACCACCATGTCTAAGCTAAAGGAAGCAAGTCGTTCAATGCCAGTAAGTGTTCCACAGAGACATCAAATATTGAAAGTCACTTTTAGGGTAGGGGTGTAAGTGGCTGCTAAAGGCTCACCTGAGTGCTATCCCACCTTTGTAAAATGCAGTGCAGAGGATGTCTGTAGGATATGGTCCTATTGAGGTGCTTGCAACTGTTCTGTCAAAGTCACACATGCACACAGTGGGATCGATGCTAGTAGGGTTTTATTAGCACTAAGCAGTGAGTGGGGGTGTCATGCTAACACGAGGCAGGCCGGACTCGGATGGCCTATTAAAATACTCCCAGTCTGCCTATTTTTAGTGACGGTAATTGACTGAATTTAAGGGGGTTATTTATAAAGCTGCCGAAGGCAGCCAAGTGAATAACCCAGTTAAAGTAAATAGCCGAATGCTGTTCGGCGATTCACTTCAGCCTTGTACAGCTAATCTTAGCCGTACATCAGTAAAATCAGCCTTACATTGGCTGCCTTCTGTCAGCATGTTCGGCTTAGCCGAAGTGCAGAAGGAGTTCGACTGAGCCGATCCAACATCTGGATCGGCTGAGCCGAAGCTCTGACAGCTCACTCGCTGCCGTTCGCCCCTATTCTCATAGGGGTCGAATGGCAGTGAGTGAATAGCCGAATGCCTGCTGAGCGGCATTTGGCTCGGCTATTTTGGGTACTTTCTGTTTTCCAGGTTGAATGTAATGACTATGACAGTGATGGATCACATGACCTCATCGGAATCTTCCAGACCACCATGTCTAAGCTAAAGGAAGCAAGTCGTTCAATGCCAGTAAGTGTTCCACAGAGACATCAAATATTGAAAGTCACTTTTAGGGTAGGGGTGTAAGTGGCTGCTAAAGGCTCACCTGAGTGCTATCCCACCTTTGTAAAATGCAGTGCAGAGGATGTCTGTAGGATATGGTCCTATTGAGGTGCTTGCAACTGTTCTGTCAAAGTCACACATGCACACAGTGGGATCGATGCTAGTAGGGTTTTATTAGCACTAAGCAGTGAGTGGGGGTGTCATGCTAACACGAGGCAGGCCGGACTCGGATGGCCTATTAAAATACTCCCAGTCTGCCTATTTTTAGTGACGGTAATTGACTGAATTTAAGGGGGTTATTTATAAAGCTGCCGAAGGCAGCCAAGTGAATAACCCAGTTAAAGTAAATAGCCGAATGCTGTTCGGCGATTCACTTCAGCCTTGTACAGCTAATCTTAGCCGTACATCAGTAAAATCAGCCTTACATTGGCTGCCTTCTGTCAGCATGTTCGGCTTAGCCGAAGTGCAGAAGGAGTTCGACTGAGCCGATCCAACATCTGGATCGGCTGAGCCGAAGCTCTGACAGCTCACTCGCTGCCGTTCGCCCCTATTCTCATAGGGGTCGAATGGCAGTGAGTGAATAGCCGAATGCCTGCTGAGCGGCATTTGGCTCGGCTATTCTGCTCGCTACCTCCGAGGTAGCGACCAGAATAGAAAAAAAAATGTTAATAAATGGAAAAAAAAATGTTTAAAAAGTATTTTTAAAAATGTAAAAAAAACTACGAAATGTTTTTAAAAAGTTAAGAAAATAATTTAAAAATAATTTAAAGAAAAAATAAAATAAAAAAACGACTGTTCAATTGTTTGGAACATTTGTTGTTGTTATTTAGCTTATTCATGTTTATGTTCTGTATTTTAAAGCTTACTGCACTATTGGTTTAAATGATGTAAATACTTTCAGTATGCATCAAAGCAAAAAGTGTAAAAGGTTCCTGTCTGCATGCACTAAGATGTAAAAATATGGTATTTTATGAAAACAAATGGCAATTGTTTATGATAGACAGTGCTGATGAAATTTCATTCATTTATAGTTTAGATACAATTCAGTCAAAGTGAATTTTGGAATATAATAAAAATCTGCACATATTGGATAAGCATCTAGTGCAAGTGAAGATCTTCAGTGCTGGGATGTCTTTACTACTGTTTGAATAAAAAAAGTTTCACACTAATATTTAGTTGGACCGCCTTTAGCTTTAATTGGGACACATTTGTGGCGGCATAGTTTCCATGTGCTTATGCAATCTTACATTTATTTCCATCTAGAGTTGCATTCATTTTTCACCATGATCTTGCAGTGATGATGGGAGAGTCAGACCATGGCGTAAAGTCTTTTCCAGCATCCCAAAGATTCTCAATGGGGTTAAGGTCTGGACTCTGTAGTGGCCAATCCATGTGTGAGAATGATGTCTCATGCTCCCTGAACCACTCTTTCACAATTTGAGCCCGATGAATCCTGGCATTGTCATCTTGGAATATGCCCAATGTGCCATCAGGGAAGAAAAATTCCATTGATAGAAAAACCTGATAATTCAGTATGTTCAGGGAGGCAGCTGACCTCGTTTTTCAGGGATATATTGCTGCTGAACCCAGACCTGATCAACTGAAGCAATCCCAAATCATAACAATGCCCCACAGGCTTAGGACTTTTTTTTTTGGCCAGGCAGTGTATAATGTGCATTCCAAATCTAGTGCAGGTAATCTGTAAATGCTAAGCAATGCGTTATCTTTCCTTTATGTATAGTGAATGCTAAATTATGTTATTTGTGTCCCATGTTTTAGACTGTCAATATCTAGCCTGTAACCCTCTACTGCTGTATACTATTCTTCTTGTCTGAAATATGCCCTCTGGTCTCCAATTAGAGTCACAGCAATATAAAAGCAATGACAGATTTTACTGGCGGCTCCCTGGCACAGTGTGTTTGCTCTGAAAGTCATAAATGACTTCAGTTATTTTAGTATATTTTTAAGGGCTCGTTCACACGACGCCTGGATTTTGTGTGGACCAGATCCGTGCGCTCATGCACCCAAAATGTATCCCTACGTGTTTTATGGGCTACAGTTCTCACGTGCGCAGTCCGTTCCGGTCCAGACAGAGAAAATGCTGCATGTCACATTTTGTCCAGTCCGGAAACGCACAAACGCGTCAAAAACGCGTCGAAAAAGCACCGCACTGCAGCTAATATACTGAAAGCCCCACTCCCAAAAAAATATGTTTTTTTAAAAACTGGAACGTGTCAAAAACGCACAGCAGATCTGCTCAAGATCCGGACCAGATCTGGTCCGGACATCGCGTGAACAAGCACTAAAGGTAATAAAGGCAGGCTGGAAACACACATTAGGCTTTGCATGGGAACAGCATCTTAGTTCTGTGTTTGTAATTGCAGGTGGAATTTGACTGCATAAATGAAAAGAAGAGACAGAAGAAGAAAAATTACAGGAATTCTGGGGTCGTGAGTGTGAAACATTGCCAAGTAGGTAGATTGTATCAAAAGTTTTGTAAACTGGTAATTGGATTGTTTAACCACTTGAGGACCGGCATGTAAAACCCCCTTCAATACCAGGCCATTTTTCCAGTTTTCAGTGTTGTGATAGTTTGCCTGAGAATGACTCGGCCACACAACACTCTACCCAAATAACTTTTTTTGAGACAAATGGAGCTTTCTTTTGGTGGTATTTAGTGACTTCGAAAGTAAAAAAGACCAAAACATTTGGAGAAAAAGAACACTTTCCCTTACATTCTGTTATAAAACAAGGTGATCTCATTTTCCCCCCACAATTGTTTAGAAATGAAGAAGCATGCTGGTTTTGGAGGGGTTACAACCTGGAGCTTGGTCATTGTGTGCTAAATACATTAATGTACAGATTATACACAGAGGGAGGAAGAGGTGAAGGGGTTCATCTACAGGTCACATACAATGGAAGGATGGTAAAAAAAAGGGGGTTATTGTACAAATAAGGTGCAGGATAAGGGAGGTGAAGGGGTTAATATACAGGTGAGAGCAGAGATTGAATGGAGCTGGTATACACAGGAGTGGAAAGGGGATGAAAGGGTTAAACATTTTATTGGGCCTTATGATTTGTTACGGCTGCTGCTTTTAGGGACCAAAAGCATTTACATTAACATTCATGCAGACAAATTTAAGTGACACTAAACTTAGGAGTTACAGCTTAAAAATACATTCAAGTACCTTAACTATTAATAAAAATGTATCTTATTTGTATCTCACGCGGCTGTCGATCCTCCAATCATCTCTGAATTCATGCTGACACTGTCTTTCCTTCTGCAGGGTGACTTCTTTTGTTCCCCATGGTCCCTGTGTGTGTTTTAAAGTAGTCACTGCTCCAAGCTCACTCCCGTGATGGACTACAATCTCAATACAAATTATTAAACTAAACATGAGATTTCTTCACTAGATGTTATCTTTTATATTCAGCATATGCTGTAAAGAAAGTTTGTTTACTGCCATTGGATCAAAAAAGTTGCTAAAATCTCATTGGTTGTTGTGGGGAGAATACACTTCCATGTATCATTTCAACCTCACATGGCCTTATTTAATAAAAGTGTTTGAGGGGAAAGTTTGTTAATAATATGTGTTTATGACAGCCCAGCAGATGGCAGACACTGCTAGCTAGAAGTTGACATTTTACATCTTGGTTTATTGCCTTTTGTATTTATATATTGTTTTTTCCTTCAAGATCACAAGGGAATACACTTTTCTGGATTATATAATGGGTGGATGTCAGATGAATTTTGTTGTAAGTATTCAAATGTTTCTTTTTATATATTTTCTTTGATGCATTACATAGTCATTTTTGTCTGCCTTTCAAATACACGCATGCAACAGGATCTACCAGGTTTAGTTATTAAGCCTCTTGGATCAATGTAAGTGATATCATGGGTTGAGAAAGTTGCTCTCCCCAGAATAAGGATAGACTGACGATGGTTGGCTAAGAATTTGTTTTTGGTCTTTTCTGGAGCAAGACCCTTAAAGGGAATGGAAATATTGAAGCTGCCGTTAGTGAAGGTGCGGGCTTCAAGGCTTTCACCATAATTCTTTCTTCACTACATGATTCAATGAGTCAGTGACCTGGAACAAGCTTCTGCGCTCCAGGTGCTTCAACTCTTTACTAGTTGCTTGCTTATTCTGAATCAGGTTAATTAAAAAGTAAAGCATGGAGAACGATGACTGCTGCAGATCGTGTGCCTTCAGAAACACATCAGGCATAACAACTTTCATATTTTTGCTCCCTTAAACTATAAGGAAGTTGAACCTGCCAAATTTCAAACCTTGTCAAGCACCCACAGAGATTGTGAGTGCGACCCTCCTTCATCAATGTCTGCAGAAGTTGCTTATCATGAGTTGTAGACAGCATAGACCGTGTCTATTTCAGAAAGTGTGATACATAGGGCCCAGTCTTCTAAGGACGGAACTGTCCCACACAGCCTGTGTTGCTGCATAAGCAATAAAATTCAAATCGGAACATCTGAATCTCATTGTTTTTAGCATTGGAATATGAACTGTCTGAGACAATTCTTCCAATAATGTCCACCTCTGGGCAAAACAAGCACCCCTTTCCAATCCCCTTAAACTGATTGCTGGCATAGGAAAAAATATATATTTTAGCTCTAACTTTACCTACCTAAATCTGTGGTCACATGACATTGGGGACCCAAGTCTGATTATAGTCGGCGAGGTCCATCTTTGGTTGTCCATAGGGTAGTTTGTGGTGTGTCCATGTCACTGTCTGCATAACGTGAACTGTCCCCTTTGGTGGCAGCGGCACTTCTAGAAGCAGGGTCCTTGAACATTTGCTTAAGAGGCATGTGGGTTCTAAAGGGACTGGTTCCCAAAGAGATAGTGGGGGGAAATGCCACACCCCCACTGTGGAAAATCTGGCTTTGCAGACAGAGGAAGTTGTATGAGATATTAGTATGTGGGATGGGTTAAGAAGATATTTTTGTGAACACCAGTGATGAAAAAGGTCATTCATGTACAATGCACAGTTAGAACAGTTAGAATGTCATATTTGCCTGGAGCTGAGCTGTAAATATTTTGTAAAGCTTAGCAGTGTAATCTACCCTTATACACATGACAACATGAAAGGTGTCATGTGTATATCATACTATTTCTTTATTTTAATATACTCTTCGCTATGCTGTCTCTTTATATAGGTTGGCATTGACTTCACTGGATCCAATGGTGACCCTCGCTCTCCCAACTCTCTGCACTACATTAGTCCTAATGGTGTCAATGAGTATCTTCATGCCATGTGGTCTGTAGGCATGGTCATTCAGGATTATGACACGTAAGCTCTTTCCAATTCTGAATTTACTCTTTAAGACTGCAAATATTTCAGCTCCCATTGGTTTAGACTCTTTGGAGCATATCCAACATTAAATGGTTATTGTTTGGTTCCTAATCCCCCTCACCTGTTCACGTCTTTGCAGGGAGGAGGCGGCGGCTGTGAGCAGGATCGATCCCTGGTTTATCTGTGAGT